CACTCTCTGCTAGCCTGCCTCCAAGAAAGTGCTTGCCTGGGTGGAGGAGCCCTGTACCCCAAAACACAATGGATATTAACTGTACAAAAGGAGTAACACCCAACAGTGCTTACCCTTTAAACTTACCAGTTTATGAACACATTATTTTAAAGAAAGTACAGAGTTAAAAAAAAACTAAAGCAATTGAAATTACAAATAGACACTCAATACTGAAAAAACTGGGTTTTATTTGGCCATTACATATATTATAATCATATTACTCATGCAGCTTCAAGGTTACAGGGATACCTGTTCAGAAGAGATCAACAAAGGAGTTTGTGAAAGGAAACGAACAGGAGGGAAGGAAGGCAAAGGTATACACCACAGAGGGAGTGGCAGGACAAACAGAAGGACTTGGTTGACATAAAGAAACAATGGGCACATTAATGAGAACAGTGGGTGTAGAAGGTTAAAAAAAGAAAGAATTTATTCGCTGAACACTAACAGTATGGTTCATGATGTGTAGAATGAGAAGTAGGCGGCAGGCCTACCTCACACTCCAGTGCAGGGGAGGCAGCTGTTTCAAGAGAGAAGCTAAGATAACTGAAGAGAGCACATATGATCAATTTAGGCATGATTCATTAATCTGACAACAGGCAAAAATTCATTATTGTCTTAGCTAAATCAAATATTTTAGATCAATGAGGGATGTTGTAAGGTGTGGTGACCAGCACCTTCACAAAGCTATTTTGGTAGAGAAGCAAAACCACATTTTTCAGCATAAAATACCTGTTTACATACATTTCATTTTTTCAATTGTGAAGCTTGTACATTCCAGCTCACAGCTTTCATAACGAAGAGAGACTTCCTTTGTAGTTCTGCACTTAAGACATGGCCCATTTTCAATAGCCAGTCACATTTAACCTAAAGAACTTTCTTATTAATAACCATGCCAGAATATACTCTAAATTGCTTTTCACAGCTTTTAGGAATTCTGTGTTGCAGGGACAAAGCTGAAAAAGCTAAAACAGAACAACAAATTTGCATCATTAGCTTAACTGCAGTTCAAACTAGCTATTCTCCTGAGCATAGTATTGTACGTTCATGAACAGAACAGTTGTGCTTTTAATATCTGCCAGTAAAATAAATATTTTAAGATAAGTGGATAGCATATTAAAGAAAATTAGAGAATGGAAATTTCTGACTCTAGTACTCAACTAGTACTTTACAGTTTTCAGGATGCTGGGTCACTGGTTTGAACCTCAACTGAGTTAGTTATTCAGTAAAAGTTATGACTGGATGTGGGCCCAAAATGGGATTCATACGCCAAACTCCTCAGGACTGTTCGGAACTCAAAGACCCTAGCCTATATTACAGAAAAGCATTTAAGAATAAGGAGGTATTAATAGAGCTTCAGATAAGTATTAAAAACAAAACAAAACCACCTACAAGAAGGATTTTATGTAAAAATCCATTGAGCCTTTCAGAATTAGTTTTTTCTGTGTAAGTGACCACACCTATTCATGTAACATCTCAAGAGAGACTGCATTCTACAGAAAATAATGCTAAAGACCTTTTGGCTTTGAATACAAAAAGTTCAATGCTACATAGTCTCAACAGAATAAATAATGAAACTGCCCACACAGGAAAATCAGTCTAAGTAAGTGGATCAGGATGAATTCTTTTATTAACTTGGGCACTGTCAGATACAAAACTGAGACAGCTGACAGTTTGCAGACAGCATTACAAGGATCTCTCGCTGGCCAATGCCAGCTGGGACAGACCTCTGAAGTCAAAGGTAAGAATTTCACCCTGTATTACCAGCAAACTAAATCCTCAAGAAAGCATCTCGTTCAAAGCAGCACTTCTGTCATTCTTAATCCATTTCCAGTTATTTGTATAGTCCTGGAGTGCAACTGGCTGCTCATGCTAACAGAGAAAACACCTTATAACATCTCTCCTACTTGCAGGATACACACAAGTAAAATGGGATAAAATCCCTTTTATTCTGCATGAGATTGTCTTTCTAAACTATGGCAGTTATGTAATACGCTATCAGACCCATTGTCAGTTAGAAAACAGGAAAGAGATTAGCATTAAGAAGTGGTTTGTCCAAAATAATTTAATAAATCGGCAAGAGGGAATTGGAAAAAAAAGCTCCTGACCTCTTGAATACACATCCAAACAATGCAGCATTTTCCCCCTCTATCATCTAGCTACCTGATCACCTGCTTTAAATACTAATGCTTTTTGTTTTCATTTTAAAAATTTAAGGTCCTAGCAGCTCTAGATCTCTCAATTTTAGCACAACAGGAATTCTAAAGCATTCTGAGCAGGAAACGGCCATGCAGCTGGTATTATTTATGTATTTTTTGTTATTCATGTTTTTTTAAAGAGATTGTGGATGAAAAGGACTTCTGCTTCAGAATGTTACTGACCTAGACTTGATGGCTTGTCACCTGACAAACTAAAAGTTCCTTCCTATCTTTTCTGGGATAACAGACACAGGCCAAAATTTACTGTGAAGCTTCCCACAAAAACCTGCAACAAGGGATTCTCATAACTCGTCTATCAGTCTATAAGCACAAGAGGGAAATATTTGTAATTTTTTTTCCCCCCACCAGTCCCTGACTTTTCTCCACATAAGAAATTCCTCAACATTATGCTGTCCTCCCTCCCTGCACAGGTACTGAGTTAGAGCTCTGCAAGGAGTGCAGACAGCTGCTTTCTTCATTTCGGCCTCTGAGCTCCCTGCAAACACAAGCTTTCTAGCTGTTTTGGTAGCTGGGAGTTTGACTGGTACTATGAATAGCAGAGATATCATTAGGGTGGAAAGATGGGAAGACTGGTTGTTGCACTAAGGCTTAGGTGCTACAAGCTTGGGAAGTTTGTCTCTCCCCAGCTGTTAGTTCTACCCTTGGCCACCGCTTCAGAAATTCCTTTTGCTTCCCCCTCCTCTCCCACCATTGAATTTTAATACCTACACCTTCCTGCCAACAAGGGAAACAACAACAAGTTATTCTGCAGAGAGTTCAAGAGTTCAATAACACTCATATATGTAACTCTAAAAGCTCCACTCTGCCTACCGAAAGGGTAAATCTCAAACTTACGTCAAGAAAGATCTTCAATTTGTGAAAATTACTGCCTAATTCCAGTACAAACAGTCCACTATCTGCTTTTAATTTGACATTGTCTTACACTTTCTAATTGCACAAGGCAAACATTCTCTTCCTTCTTATGATAAAAAATGGATGCATCTGAAAGCCAACCTTCATATTCACTCTAATAATGGAATTAAATTCAAGAGTATTCACTGACATGATACGGAATTCCATAAAGAGAAGACATATGACTTTAGTTGCCAATGTTTTGAACAGATACATTACTTTTCCAGTTTTCTCCTTTTATAAATTAAAACTTTATGCTCTATATTAGCTAAAAACATCATCATCTAAAAATACCATTCTATCAGTATTGCAAAAACACAAGGTTGCACATCCATGCACACACTTTGAAGATTCAGGCTAAAGCAGGACCAAAACATTCCAATACTGAAGTTATGATTTTGCTAAATATTCAAATTCTGAAACAGGCAATTTAAATTTAAGTACCTAAATGAAACTGTTGAGAAGTTAGCGGGGAAAGAACACTGGGCAACATGGTTCTGACAGCTGGATGCTATTTCTATGAAGAGGTGACACACAGCAGGTGCATTGGGTGGCAAACTGTGGCACAGGATGGCAAGGAAGTCCACATAAACAAAAGAAACCAGTACATCCGATACCGAGGTGTTACACAACAGCTTTTAAGTATTAAGCAGAAGGGTCAGTGTTCTCCATCACATCAAGTCTCCTGGCTTAAAGTGCGCAGTGCTGAAGCAGACAGCTTTTTAGAGAACTCCACTCAAATCGCTATGTCAGTTATGCTGAAGCAGACAGCTTTCTGGAGAACTCCACTCAAATCGCTATGTCAGTTCCTTCATTACGCACTTTTACTGCCATTTTATTCAGTGTCAATACCTAACAGTAATTTAACAGACTTAACATTAATCCCCAGTGCACTCTTCCAATACAGTTTCTAGGTGGAAATATAACGGTCAAGTGGCCAATTCACCTACCAGACATTAGATAATCTCTCTAATCTTTTGAGCACAATCGTATTCTGTGAATGCAATAGAAACTTTTACATGACAGTTAGAACTTCATCGTATAGGAAGTTACAGAAAGACAGTGAAAAGAGGGTATCAAATTATTCAAGATAATTACTAACCATCTTCAGTTTCATAATAAAGAGTTAAATGGACTGCACACAATTTGCAGGGAAGAGAGGGTTGAAAGCAGTACAATCAGAGGCAAAGCGTACCCAAGATGGAAACTTGACAGGGGACTTAAAAGGAAAAAAATGGACAGCCTGCAGGTGGTTTCAAATAGCCTCAAGAATGTGTGTGAACCTGATAAAATTAATGAAGATATGACATTGCCTAATCCAACTGATTCATTAAAAGAAAACAGGCAAAGAGATTTGGGTCCACTTAGATGACTATATTAAAAACTAGCAGTACTGTTAACAAAAAGATCACAAACACATGTAAATAGTTGTTGGAACTCCTAAACCTCTGACCAAGCACTCTATGCCTTGACATAAAGGAGACATTATGCTGACAGACATATTTAGAAGAATCATATATGCTGGGTCAAACTCTGCTGACAGCAGCCAGTAGAGGATGCTTACATATCTTCACAGGTAAGTATCTAAACATTTGGGCTCTGCAACCCTTGTGCAGGCAAAAATCCTTGGACAAGAGTAGCCTGAATTTTCTTTGAAGTTGCCACAACCCCTAATGAAGTGACAGCAGGGATTAGTGTGCACTTCAGCTAACCTGAAGATTCAGGCAACTTCTTTCTCTGAAAATTAACCTGCTCTCACCAGACTACAATCAGAACACTTTATATTGTTTGCATTACATTTACATGTTGCTTTACAGCTCACAGCACCCTTTTGAAAAACAGGCAAACAGTTCAACACTTATGTACTTAAACTTTATTTCTTCATAATTACAGGCTATTGTTAGAATTTTTAAACAAAAGGGAAGTCTATAAATAGAGGCTAATCCCACCTGAACAAGTTTTTTTTTAAAAAAAAAACAAACAAAAACCAGTTAAAACTTCATAAAGTAATGCCATTTAGCTCACAGCAGTGGTTTGTTGGTAGTCTGAGTAAAAGTACTATAGTCAGAGTCAGTAACATGAAATGTAACATCAAATGACTCAAACCTTTAAATTCCATAAAGGAAAGAAGGAATATATATATAATATATACATATAATATCGTGTTGGTCCACTGAGTATACATTTTTAACAAAAGATAAGAAACTATGTAATCCAGTTAAGCATATGATTTGCAAGATTAGTGTACACTCATTACAAAGATGTATAGATAAGTTATAACTATTTAATACTTGCAAAATTTTAAGTTACTTTTTTTGAGCAGGTGTTTCAATGCTCGTTTCCCAGTGCAAAAGAAAAACTATCCCAGTCAAGTCACCCATTTTTCCTGAAAAATTGAAAACTACCCTCAAACTCGTGCAACAGCAGCATTGACAGGTAATGGGAAGAGCTTAAATACACTGAAGCATGGTCAAGTTCTCCTTTCACCTCCAGTGCTCTATCTTGAAACACTTCAATTTCCTCAACAGAAATACCACAGGTTAAAAGTGCAAGGGGGAAAAAAAAAAAAAATCAACCAAATCCCTTGATGTTTATGCTGCTGCCATCCATTTTTCTTAGATAGGGCAAAAGATTTTTATTTTTGGAATTTAATGAAATGGATTCCTCAGAATGGAGTTCTTTCAAAATGAACAATAAGTTATTTTCATTAAGTTCTTTTCATTAACGTTCTATTAATCCTATTCTGACTCAGTGACCATTCAGAAATCATTCAGTTTAAGGTGCAACTATCTGTTGGCATTCAATAAATTACATATACAGAAAACAACTGTGGTTAAAAAAAATAAAAATCAGACTACCTGTTTTTTCTTTCTATTCTCAATCCTATTTCAAATTGAAGTTATTAACTTGCCAGTTCAGCTGCATATTTCACAGGCAAAAGTGGCTCAAATAGCAGTGGGGTCTCCCAATTTGGCAGTCATCTTGGCCAACAGCAAATGCACAAGAATCAACTTAATTGTTTTATAAAACAAAATAACAAGTCTGTCTTAAAACCTATGACCATGCAAGAAAAACATTAAAGGTTTCAGAAAGACACACTCTTGCTGAGTCTCCAAGAAGATTGTTATTTCAAATCCAAACGTAGAATCTTCAGAAGAGAAAAACCTATATGCATACATGTAAAGTAAAGCACTCCACAACTCTGGCATTACTAAAATCTCTTTAGAAGGATAAAAGGTTTCAGATGACTAACTGCTTGATGGGAGACAGTCAGCCATGACAGAATAATTGCTATGTTCACTTTATGCTCAATTACCAACTGCTGACAGATTACAGTCAAACTACAGTCTCACTATCTGCATTTTAAACTGATTAGCTTACAGCTGGGAAAAGTACTTTGTTCTCCTGAAACTTGAGAAATTGAATGCTAAACTTAACAGTTATTCAAACAATAACCAAAAGGATTGAGTTTAGCAGAAACATTCACACCACTTTCAGAAATTTACAACCTTTCATAGTTTCTTGCATATATGTATTTTTCTGATTAACATTTAAATAGGTTAGGTATTCAGGTAAAGGGACAAAACAGTTGACATAAGACAAAATCTTATTCTAAACTTCATGCTTCAGATATTTCAGATTTACTGAGTGCAATAGCCAGTTCCAAGTCTTCTTGCTCTTGCTGTTTTAGTCTTGCCAATCTTTCTTTCTCTTCTCTCTCACTTTCCCTCTTAGCCCATTCAATCATGTCTTCCTCAGTAGAATACTGCATTTTTAAAAGACAAAATAAACCAGATTAATAATATAATGATAACTAATACTGTTCAAGTCCTTGGTTTAAGAGACAATTACAGTTTTTCAGAAGTTGTATAGATTCTAGTCTTCAAATATTACTTGCTTTTTAATTTTAATACACTATTAAGATCAGCTTAGTCTAAGGTTTAACTATTAAGAACAGCATTGAAGCCATCCAATTGATGTATTTATGAAATATGCTATGTTTCAAAATTCAGTATTAAGTTTCAAAAAAGTTACTGAGCAGAAAGTGCTATAATTCAAATTCAATTTTAGTTCAGATGAATAACAGTCTACACAAGAAAAATTTGGAATAAATCAGGAGAACATTTTGCAAAATACACCCCTATCTGCACTGTGGGACATCCTGATTTGTTCTGCTTTCATTAGGGATGATTTTTCCAGTGACAATGACTGCAAAAATTAGCTGTAGAATGACCGTTTTTAATTGTGCAGACAAAAAATACTTCTGCCAAGCAGCAGCAAAACAATAAAGTAACCGTACAGTTAGAAGCCCAGTACTAATACAGAGAAAGGTCAGTGTGATACAAGAAAAAAAAACAAGAACAGATTCTTTCAATGTATATTGATGCGAACAGAACGTGAGCTAAAATTCTGTGGTACAATGATTATAAATCAGAGACAGTTAAGGGTAGTTTCTTAAACAAAATACAAAAGATTATGCTAAAGGTTGTTTCTAGTCAGCATGCAGAAAAACTAAGAGGTAGGTGAAGCCCATGTCTTCATAAATCTGAAAGTGTTATCGTTATATACTCCAGCTAGTTTCTGCTTTGAGCTACTAATTGGGGAAATTAATGTATAAAAGCTTGAGTTCTCTCCATAGTTCACTTGGTATTTTCAGTAATTACAGCTGGAAAAGAATACTTTTTCCTTCATAAAGATAATGAACATTTTTGCTTTCTCCTCCACATTTCACATTCTGTCCTCCAAACTGGCTTCTCAGTCCCTCTGATAACTAACAGCAGTTATCAATAACAGCTATCAATAACAGCAATTCAGAAATTATCATGCTACAAGACACATCAACCATCAACCACAGTCAATTCTGACAGCCTGTCAATCCTCAGTTTACTTCAATCAAGCACATAGTTTATTAGGCCTGAAAGCAAAAAAAGCAGTACAATCAAGATACTGTAAATGCAAATTGCATTTAACAGGTATCAAGCTTCAAAGTGAGATGATGCCTTTCAAAACTCCTATTTGCAAAAGTGCAAAAGAAAAAAAAAAAATAGGCATGCACAAACCTTTAGAGTTGCTTCTACTGCTTGAACACCACGACTTCTATGAAATGGATTCTGGTTATGGAGAGACACTTACTACTTTTTACTTCATTGTACATGTCTGGAATTTACTAGCCATGCAAAACTCACCAAATTATATTTCATTAACATACACTGTTATGAGGCTGTTTATCAGTATTTCAGTACGTTGAAATTATGACCAAATGATTCAGTGACAGCTAAATTAAAATCACACCTTTTGTTTTATTTTTAATTGGATTGTTAACAGTGTGCTTGTTATAGATCTATAATTTAAATCCGCTGTATGCTCTGATAAAATGGATAATCCCTAGAACATAGATATTTTAAAACTCCTGTTTTCTAAAAGCTAGGAGGCCTCCATGGGAAAAAAAAACTCACAAAAACAATACAATTGAAACATTAACTACAATATTTTGTAGTATTTTGCTTTAGGACAGCCTCAGCTGTAAACTAAATGTAAATACTGTTTCAACTGGAAGTGATATCCCTTTTGTACATGGGATATGTTTTAATATTTTAAATTAGACTGAAGACTTCAGTGTGAACAACTCAAAGCTGTCATTATACTGAAACAAATGTAAAAAGTGTTTACTCACAGTACTGAAGTTTGCAAAATTGTTGGGGTCAGCCTCTTTACTGATGTTGGTGGGAGCAAATGGATCACAGAATAGATCTGCTTCTTGTTCTTTGGGAATGTCTGGGGTGGGGAAAGGCTGAAATGGATCGCTCGGTTTAAAGGAATCTGAAGAGTCTATTTGATTGATAGGTCTTTTCCCTTAGATTAAAATGAATTTAAAATGAATTTAAGATAGCAGGTAATAACATGCCAAAAATAGTAAAAAAAAACCAAACCAAACCACACCACAAATTGAAAAGCTACTTGGAACGTAACCTCTTCTGGTAAACTAGTGGAGTTGCAATGACTTCAGAGGAAGGGTTGCCAATTTAAGAAAATGAGGGTATGGTCCATAGATTATTAAAGGGTAATCAGGTAAAAAGGAACACACGTATGTTAATGATTCAAGAACACAGTTATCTACTAATTAACTATTTTGGGAAGAGAATTTCTAACAGTTTTGAGCCCTATTCTATCAGCACAGTATTTTTTTCTCCTCCTTATCAACTGTCCACGATCATTCAAGCAAGGCTCTTTTACTATTTGTTTGGATCAAGTTAACACAATTTCATTCAGAGACCAGAAATATATTTGTAAGTCCTCAAAACACCACGTCCTCTCACTATGCTAGCACCTGGAATTTCTGTAGTTTTTAAACTAACAGAACAAAGGAGCATGATAACAAGCAATCACAGGCTTAACTATTTTGTTAATCCTTGCCTAAGTAGCTGCAGATATAACAGAATCAGGCACAAGCCCCCACTTAGTCGGTTCTTTTTTCATCTTAACCCCAGTCAGCCTTCAACACCTTTGAGGACATTAACCCAAATACTACCAAGAATAGTTGAGCTGAATTTCATCTCACCATTCTCGCCATATGTTACTGCTTACAGAAAAGGGTTTCACTGCAGTTTCTTGAATTCAACTAGCAGGTTCTGCAAGTGGTTCAACACTTACAATGGTTGTATTTTAAAACTTGCTTCTGCTGCCATTTTAGATTGAAACTGCAGAAACGAACAAAAGTGCTTATCATTTTGTATATCACTGTTGCAAGTTAGTCTAAAAATTCTTTCATAAGACCAAAAGAGATTCTATTTTCACAATGATTTAGAGAACACTTCCTTGGGAACCTGTGATTTACTTAAGACACTTCCCCAATAACCTTCCCATGATAGCTCTCAGTCACTGATGATGTTCTATTACTGGCAAACAACGCATGTCTATTTCTTGAATAATGTGGGAGAAGCAGCTTCAACTGACACAGAGGGAATTTTATTTCTGCATGGAAAGGATTAATAATTGTAGGAATATGAAATATACAATCTCCAAATCCACTCAAAAATGGGGGTGCTTATCAGTATCTAGAAAGGCAACAGATTTCAGAGGCAAGCAAACAGCCCTTCTGCACACTTTCCAGTAGTGTGAAAAATTAAGAGAAAGATTTTGGGGTATTTCTTTGAAAAAGCATTCCCTTGTTTTGAATCAGACCAACAGAATAATTAAAAATACATACACTTAAGTATCTCCATTTTTTACTTCCATTAGGAAAATAATTTATTGGCAATGGTTATCAAGATAACCACAGTATCATTTTTAATATGTGCAAATCAAAACAGACTACTTTTTTCTAGTCATCTATTGATAAAGATGATGTTGTTTCATCACTAGAAACTTGCATTCTAAAAGCGGATCTGTACACCATGTCATAACCACTCCCATACAAGGAAGTCCGAGATCCTTTTTTTGTTTTAAATAAGGGTCACTGTAAGAGGAAACACTATCAAACATTCAAATTATCACCACTTGTCATGTCAGCTGTTTTTACATTATTTACAATGAAACTGATTACTTGGCAAGGCATAAACATGAAGAAGATCTCAGATCAAGATTAGAAATTAAACAGCTGAGTTTAAACTTCAGTATTATTACTCCTACATTTACTGTTCCTTCTTTTGAGGAAAAAGATGAATACATGAGTAAGTTTCACGCTACAGTTTTCCAAAACACATTGAGATTCATCCATATAGTGTAATAGTGAAAAAATTATGCAGCAGACTTTTTAAAGATGATGAAACAAAGGGCAGAAACTTAAAAAGGAATATTAGTAATATATTTTCCAATCTATGCCAAAAAAAAAAAAAAAAAAAAAATGGAGAGCAAGGAGTCTGTTGTAACATGGGCTTGTTGCAACCACCAGAAGGTGGTGTTGTCTTTCATAATCATGGCCTTTTCTGGAAAGCAGCGTGGTTTGTGTCATGGAGTGGACCAGAGGACTCTGCTATCACGAACAGAAAACAGCACAGGAAACTTGGGTTTATTACTATTACTTTCGCTAGGTTTACTACTACAGACCTCTGGCAAGGCAACCTAGAAAAAGTTAATCTGAAAACTGAGGCAGTCATTTGACCCTATTTAATTCATTTTTGCACTAAACCCAGAGGTTTTGCAATGAATAAAACATACTGAATTCTCACTTTCAGCATAATTTAATGCAAGATTCACAATGTATCACATTAGTAACCATTTAATTTGCCGCCACGCTATGTTCTTGAAGATACTTGTAATAACTCTATTTTTCCCTGTTTTCTAAAGCCTTTCTCTCTTCAAAAAACAATGATGCCAAACACCATGCAACATTTAACTTTGAGGAAATAACCAACAGATCAGGAGCAGACTTGTTTCACATCTTGCTCATTCATTCTAAATTCAGACACTTCACCATCCCCTCATAATTATTGTCCCACTGCCAATACTGAAGAATCTAATTAACAACATCCGAGTATCAGCTCTTACCAGGTGGTGGTGGACAGGGCCTTGTGGGAGTTCCTGTTTTAGGGGGCAATGCAGGAGGAACATCCTCATTTTTAGCTGGTGGTTCCTCAAATAGGTTTTTAGTTATGATCACATTGTTGACAGAACCTGATGTGGAAGAGCTAAAGGGATCCTCATTGTTGGCCTTCAAAGAAAACAGCAACATACGCATTTTTCAGTGTAATTCTACTATACTTTCCCTTCTTTTCACTAATGCGATATTTATTTAGGACTGGAAGTTCGGACTAAGTCAAAAAGAAAACACTTTTGTTTGTTTTTTACACATAGTATCAACATACGCCAGGATATTGAAAATAAAGAAAAATCAGGAATGGTTAGTATGTACAGAAATATAAAGTTGAGTCCAGTTAAACATGCAAAAGCAATACTTTTGCTGTTAAAATCAGTGGATTTAAAAAAAAAATTCTAATATCACTTCAAATATAGAGAAAATACTTATAAGCCACAGAGATTACATTGCATTCTTCAGTGGCATTGCAGGACAATTTACTATAAAGACCTCTTTTTCAAGAAAGTCAGCCATTATAAATTTTTAGTAATGGCAAAACCATAACGAAACTGTTGGTACAAATAGTAAGCTATGTCTTGTTGCTGCAGAGTTTCATGCATTTTCTATGAGCAGCAGTAGCTTCATATTACCTTTGACAGTGTGCTGAAGTCAGCAAAGCCACTTCCAAAGGATTCATTTCCAAACAGAGAGGCAAAGGGGTCTGTAGCTAAATACACGCAAATCAAGCAAAGAGAATAAGATTAAAAGTTAAATACAAAAAAGACTGAAAAAAAAATCAGGGGAAGTTCAGGCTAGAAATTAGGAGGCATTTCTTCACAGAAAGGGTCATTAGGCATTGGAATGGGCTGCCCAGGGAGGTGGTAGAGTCACCATCCCTGGAGGTGTTTAAGAAAAGACTGGACATGGCACTTAGTGCCATGGTCTAGCTGACACAGTGGTGTTAGGGCAAAGGTTGGACTCAATGATCCTGGAGGTCTCTTCCAACCTAATTGATTCTGTGATTCTGTGAAATCCCACAACAAAAAAGCAGCTGTTACATATTTTGCAGCATAGACTAATTCAAGCAAAATATTTGGGCACTTTAAGTTATTAAGTAGTTTTTATAAAAACTCTAAGCGTCAACTACTGATTAAGAATAGTAGTTATCCTGAACAGGGAGTAATTCAAAAGAAATACTGGTTTCCTACATTAAAAAAAGTTAAATTCCACTGAAAGCATCAAATAACCATACTACTGGATGTTCTGCTGAGATACACGTATGTATACACACAGAGGTATTTTTTATGTGCACACAACCAAAAATATATATATACAGACATATATATATAAAAGTGAATATGAACAAGAGCTCACTTCTGACTGTCGGCCCATTTGTGCAATAAAGTATCTAAACCTCAACTCAATCAAATTCCACAGTAACTTTTCATTCTTACATGGCTCAAAATATGTAAAAACTGCTGTTCTTCTGTAAAGCAAGAAGTGCACTGTCTTTACCAATGCTCACTTCTGCACCTCTAGAAAATGGCATTTTCTTCCTACAATTAAACTGAACAAGTCTACAATAGTAAATCACACATGGATTCATGTTTTGGATTACCACTTGTCAGTGCAAATTGGGAAAACAGGAGATTAGAGTCTTCCCTAAAACATCTTTAGCCCTCAGATAACTGTGGGTCACAGCAAAACAAAAGGAGCAAACTTTAACAATAAAATTCTTGATGAAGTAGTTATTCTATTCCTCATCTCCTCTCGTAGCACAAAGCTATCTTGTATGTTACTTAGAAAGTAACATGAAATCTCTAGAAACAACCCTAATGAGAAGCAGTACAAACCATTCAAACACTTAGATCAGGATATTTTACCAGTTTTAGGTAAGGCAGAGGAACATTTTTGCAGAATCAGTCTTCAGTGATACACACTACAGAAAATGAGACAGTTTTGTTCTATAAAAATACCCTCTGCAAACTTGCACCTTATGTCATACTCTATAGGAAAATTCAGAACACACAGGAAATCCCTAAAATGCTCCATCACAAATTCAGTTAAAAGACTAGAAACAGAAGTAAGCAAAAGTAAATAAAACTCAAGAAGTCTGATGTGTATAATCTACTTTTACCTAGATCATTCGACGTTGTAACAGTTGTTCCACCAGGAGCAAAAGGGTCATTCTTCTTCAATATCTCTGTCTAAAATAAAAAATTCCTTTGGAGGGAAATTTGTTTTTCAGCTTAAAAGATTCCTCATTCTAAGAATACAATCACAATTCATTTTATTTTAGAACTTTTAAGAGAAAGTGTTTTGGAAGTAGCTTTTATTAGCATCAGTAAACAAGTCTGGTAATAGAAACTCCTCCTCAAAACAGTGAGTAATACTTTCAAAGGACGGAAAAAGGTACAGTATGTGCAACATACTTGGTGACCACTAACATGAAACTTAAGAATATCTACCACTCATTTTGGTCTCAGATTTCTACAGACAGAGGCATCTTCATGAAGATATAACTACAAGATATCAACACCACAAAGGTGTGGTAAAGCATTTAGGAAGAATGCATAACTTAGCTTCAGTTCAGAAATACAGATCTCAAGAATCCACTGCTAATCCCACACCACAGCTCTGACACCCACTCTTTTTTTTTTTCTTCTGTACATCTTTTATTATCAGACTTATGACCAAGAATTGGTTATATTAGCATATCAAGACTTGGAAAAGGATAGTGTGCTAAGTATTGAAGACTGTAGACAACTAATTTTTAAGGTTGGAGGTGTAGGCTGTGGGGTGTAACACGGCCTTGAGATCTGCATACTATGCACACCACATGGAAGGACAGGGAGACCACTGTTAGCTGCAGTGATTTCTAGCTATCTTGGCTGTTGTGGGTTTGCCTCAGGCATACCCTATAGCCACTTAACTTGCTTCTTAACCCTAATCCACATGTATCTTTAATTTTTATATATATGCATATTTTATACACACACAAAATTGGAAGTGAGGCATGAACAGAAGCAGCACTGAGAGGGAAAGGAGATGGCCAAAGGATAGAGACAAACTTATGACATGAAGAATTTCAGCTTCTTAGATTGTTTGTCTAATCAGCTCTAAATATTACATCATCTTCATCAAGTTCTATCCTACATCAGAGAAGGTTTCATGCCCAACTCTACCTTATTATAGGCTGAAGACTAATCAATAGCTGCTCAGTTACAATGTAAACAGCTAAAAGTTACACTGAAGTACACTTGAAAGAGGTACATTCAGTAAGAATCTACATTATGAGAGGACTTCAATGACTCTTATTAAAAAAAAACCATAACAAAACCCAAACAACATACACCTATAGAATAATTTGACTTTTCAGAGGGGAAACCCCATACCACATCAGATTTTAGATAAGATCCTATAAGCTTTGGAGGCAAAAATCAAGTGTCTTAACATAACTTCGTGAGATTAATCTTGGGTTTCTTTCAATGTTTAGTAAGTTGCATCAGCTACCAATAGAGCTTAGTTCATTATTCTCAAATATTCTTATCTGTGGAGCAATGAAGCTCCACACTGAAACATTTCTAAAATGTTCTAATTTTTCCTTCTATTTCATCTGTGACTATTTCTATAAAATAGGACACAAAAAAGACAAGACAGAGCCACGGGGTAAGAGGTAACCTTTTATCTATATGATTTCTGAATATCAGCTTTTCAAGGCATGTCCAAACATACAAAATAGGTTATTTTGTCCAAATCATACACAGAAGTAAAAGGTATGTGATGAAACTTACTGTGATATTATTACTGTTGTCTGCAGTGCTAAATGGATCAGTGCCAGCAGTCACAAAAGGATCGGTGGAGGATTGTTTGAAAAAACAGTCAGCTGCAAAAGGATCTGAGCCTTTGAAGGGATCACCACCAAAGGGATCTAAAAAGTAAACATCTCATTAACATTTCTGCTAGCTTTACTTAGCTTGGTATCTTAAAAGCTAAACATTATATGCCTTTTATCATACTGCAAGAAGCCCAAGGATCTTTGGAGTATGAAATTCATCTGTGAATAATTTGTATTCTGTGATTGAAAACATTAAGGAAGCCAATATTTTCTGCACATCAAGAAACCTTTGGACGGTGCCAGTGGTTCAGCTCCAGAATCATCTGAGCATATAGGTTCTTTAACCAAGCCCCCTAAAAATGAAGCATTTTACAACACCTAGTATTTCTCAGAACTCTCCTACCCTCCTCTCCTTCACTCCCCAAACACAATTCATGTTTTCACACTTGGTGCTCAATGATATTTTGCTATAGCCTTCCCACTGGTCGTTTTGTGTTTTTGTCACCAGTAACTCCATTCAGGACCAAGCAAATAATGCAATGACATCACCTATACAGCCAGTCTAAATAGAGACTTCCCACCTTTTTGAATATTTAGTTCTAAAGAAAGTTGCTAAGTTAAGAGCCTTTAAAAGAGTACAGTCCTACTTCTTTGTATACAAAACATGCAGCAAGAGTTTGGGGACTTCTGTTCACCACCTTCACGTACTTAAATCCCAACTAAGGATACTTCCAACAGCAAGAGAGAAGTTCACTGGCAACAGCCTTCTCTGAAAAGCTTTAACACAAATGGTCAGTTGCTACTGCCATATATCCATCTATCCTATGGTGACTTTTTGGATCATTTCCACCTTTTTTGCACTGAAAGTGGTGACAGTTTTCCCCACATGCTCTTCTAGTAGGAATCATTTAGAAAAACAGACACATTAGAAGTTACAAAGTTACTTACCAATTTTCCCAAAAGGGTCATCTTTGAAGGGATCACCTGTTTTTTTTTTTAAAAAAAAAAAGTTACTTGTCCTGAAGCATGTACTCAGTTGAAGTCTTTTAGAAACAACTCCTACTCAGAGGAAAAGTTTCACTATTTTCAGTGGAACTACAAGAGATAGCATTAGACAAAGCAAATATTCATTAAGTAGCTCATTACCATCATGAAACACACACAAAAGCAGCCATCTCAAAGATGCATTTCTGTTGGCTATTGTCTGTTAATACCCACATTACGCAGTATTTACCACCACAGTAATCCAGGCTAACCACCGACAGAAGTTTAGTCCCAGTTTTGATTAATTCTCACAGGCGCCATGGATGGTAGCTCCTCACTGTTCATTTCTGTACTGGATACACAGTCCCAATTGCATCAGTTCTACTCCCTCATCTAGATCTGAGAGACATAGCTAATCTGCCTCTTTGCTGTAGGTATCTACCCCTGAACATACTGAGCATACAAATCCCAAAAGGTTGGCTACTAACAGACATACCTTTCTCCTCTGAAAGAAAGGCCTGGTCATGTGCTGTAAGTAGGACCACTTCAATATAAACAAAAAAATCAAGCAGTATCTACACAGAAACATTCAAGCTATTTTAAATTAGTTTAATTTGTTAATTAAAAGTATTCTATCTGCACTGACATTCTTTCAGAAGACAAGTGATCTGTAACAAATATAGCTTATTTTCCTTTCGAAGCAATATGAGCTAAATTGATCAGACCACGTTGACTCTGAAAGCATGTAAAATCATATTAATGTGGCTGAAAACATCTGCTCCAGCTGTTAATCCAAATTAACTCCCCTCCTCCAAGTGGCTCCATATAGACAGATCACCTCCAACATAAAAAAAAAGCAGAGCAACAGCATTCGTAAGTGGCAATTTCTTAAAATAAAGCATAGCACTTCTACAAGACGAACAGATGGTGCAGTTCCACATTACCTTTTTCTGAGCGCCAAACTCACCACAAGTAGGCCACAGCCATTCATTCTCAACCACCCACACCCTCCCCACACCACAGCTCACTGAACCCTCTTGTTGATCTGTTTGTGGATCTGTGCTCCAAATTAGATTAGCAACACCGCATGTATCACAAGTATGCCCACACCTTTAAGATCAAAATGCAACCTGGGGCGGGGCAGGCAAGGGAATTATTGAGGAAAAAGTGCATTGAGGGAAAACTGCAATTTTCACAGCTAATTAGAAAGTCCAGATGAAGGAAGGAGAAACACTCTGGAACTCTCATTTCTATAATTTCTATTTTTGAAACGCTCTTAGCTCTATACTCCTGTCACTCAAACACCTTCACATTTATTCTATAAAGAGCAGTTTCAAGGTGAAGATGAGTCTGAGATGTGTTCATACAAGACCTGTTTCTGCAAACGTACGCTTGGAGAGAAAAGTTTACTTACTGCCAACAAAAGGGTCAGACTGGAAGAATTCTAAGCTGGCTTCAGAAACTAGATCAGGCAATGGATGAGATTCAGTATCAAATGGATCTTCCTGGGCAATGCAAAAGAAGTAGAGAAAAGTATTAAATCTTTAAGACATACAGGACAGAAAACACGTTGTCTTGTGTTACCATTTATTAGTTTCTAAAAGCTGGGGGGGAAAAAAAAAAAAAGAGACAGCTAGAATTCTATAAGTCATCAATGGAGATCCAAAATATTTCTCAACAACCTGTCTGATATACAAGATGAAGCGTTTTCATGACACTTTAAATAAAAACAATAAGAAGTGACCATTTTATTTCTCTGTTGTTCTATGACTGTGATGCAAGTGACACAATGCAAGCCTGAAACAGTTTAGCCAGGATTTTTTAATTTACTTTTTCCTCCCCTCAATTCGAACAAACTCACTTTTTTGGTAATAGTTGTAGTTGAAGTCTCTTTCTCTTCTTCTACAAGAGAGGCTGTTGTTTCAGGACTATTCCTTATCTATGTAAGGATAAAAGCAATTCACCATAAATGAGTAAATAGAACACTACACAATATAATTTTAAGTATTAAGTAGCTAAAAGAATATACTAAAGGATACTTCAAGAGGTTCACACTTATAGAAAATACTGAAGTGTTCCATAAACTGTGAAAGTTAAAAAAAAAATCAATCAAGAATCTACTGGGACATAAGGAGGGACACTTAAAGCAAGACAGCTGTAGATTTTCTGTACTATTCCTTATTCCATTCTTGTTGCACCAACTGGAGACAGCTGCTCTCCTTTAATGTTAATTCTACTATTCAATTTATGATATTTTGCTTTGGAAACAAGTACAGGAAAGATTTTTATCGACACTTTCCAGCCAAGCTAAAATTGCCTCCTTTTCTGCTTAGATTGCAGAAACATAGTCCCTCAGAATAACACCCCGTAATTTCACTTGTGCAACTGTTTAAAAACATAATCAATCTTAACTTATTCCAACTTCACAGCTGCATTACATCATGATCAAGCAGGCAAAACACTACTCACTGGAGACACACTGTTTATTTGTTCATCTTCTGCTATACTTTCCCTTTCAGCATTCTCATTTAGGTTAGCTGTTTCACTGCTGCTGTTGCTAAGACTAGAATGATCCACAGTTCCATTAACAAGTGTATTATGTGGCTGAGAGTGCCAACTAAATTGGTTATTTTCCAATTCTTTCAGCTCATGAAGTTTTGTCTGCACCTGTAAACAGAAATAAATGTATATGCATCAGTATGGCAGCACATAGAAGCTAGTGTATGACCACTCCCTCTTAAATATAAGATGGAAGATATATGTCTGAAATTTTTATTTTCAAAAGCAAATATAATAAAAACCACGTTCTTTCAATCAAAGGTTGAAATTTGAAAGAGAAGCACAAATCTGATTTAGAAGAAGTGCAATACGGTTGAAGGACAGAACTGAGAACCTTCTCCTGGCAAGGAAGGAGACTGCATCACTGGAAACATCAAGACTTGTTGCCTTGCTGCTTTGTTTCTACTCAAACTTGTAAGAAGAATTGCAAAGCTTTCAGGTTTTCTTTGTTTAGCTTTGGAGGGGTTTTTTGGGTTGTGGGTTTTTTTGGGGTAGCTGACTGTTTTGGGTTTTTTAAATTATGTATTTGCAATTGCCTTAAATTTAAAAGTCTGCTTTATTGGAATTCTCATCTTCCAAGAAAGAAAATTACAAATTCATTATCTTCTCCCACATGACTTCTGAAGTCTACAAAATCCACAGTATATCTTCCTAAGCAGACAGTTACATTTACATTATTATTTCAGCAATATGCTTAATGCAGTGCCTCACAGCAAACGTTTACAACCAACCTGCCAGTTACAAAGGAATTATTGGATTTGGCAAATCATGCAGAAGGATGAACATAGTTCAGATATTTAGGTGTCTAAATCCCACTTACTTCTGCTAGGTCAGTCACCTAATAGAGTTTTCATTGCCTTGCATATGTCACAAGTCAGGTGGCGTCACAGACAACACCAAGTGTCTTTCAAATACACTGACCTCAGACCAACCATTAGATAATCTTGCCTAAAGCACCAAAGCACCTATTGTTCATTATTTGTGAGTCAAGACCAATAAAATCAGGAGTACTGATATAAAACCTATCAAAAAAAGTGTCTGTAGTGAGGTCAAGCATAATCACTTGTATTATCAGCCTCAAATCTGTTCACTGTAAGCACCTCTTGCTAGTATATTATACTGAAATAGCACAACCTTCTCTCTATTTGTGATGAAACAATGGAAAAGCCATTTTTGCTTACTTCTCAGTTTCTAAAACTCAAAGCCAAATTTAAAAATCATAAATATGCTATAAGGCTCTTTAACAGATGAAAATGTTCTTGAATGAACACTAGCAGTGGAAGTCTTCAGAAAAAAAATTGTTAGAAGTAAGACATGAATTGTGTGAACTGACCAACCCAAAAGTCAGCAATTTCCAGGGTTCAAAGTCAATAGGAAGGCATTTCATTTTGTTTTTAACTTGATAACAATGTGACTCCAGCTAACATATTAGACATCTGGCAAGTCAGAGAAGAAGAATGATGAGGAAAGGGTGTGCAAGCTAACGCATCACTGAAGTAATAATAAATCACTGATTACAGATAGGAGTGTTCCTTTAACATAACAGCAGACGCTTCAAAGCACAATGCTTAAAAACCAGTGCAGCCATCTCTCTGCTTCTCAGCATCTAGTCTCAATCCAATTTATTGTTACATTCACCTTATTTTCCCCCTTCAACAATGCACTAAGTAAATGTTATTAGCAATTTTATACCAACTTCACATCCATTAAAGAACAGTGATAGCATACCCCTGGCCATGGCTGAGGAAGCTAGCTTAAATAACTACTGGACGTAGAGAATTTAAACATGCACTATCCATTTTTCATTCACTACATTAAGACAAATTTTTTATGAGGTATAATAAATTAATCCCTTTCTATTAACGAAACTTGGAGAAAAATCATGAAGTATCTTGAGTGACTTGAGTCACCCTCTAAGAATCCTATCAGCTACTAGCACAGAACACATCTGAAAACAACTAAAGACATGAGCAAACAGTGAAGGAAAGAGAAAACAATGCCTTCCTCTTAACAAAAACCACACTCAAGGTTGTCAGCTAAAATTTTTTTTTTTTTGCGGGGGTCTTTCACACTGCCTTACTGAATTGATTTCCTGTTGTGAATCCTGCAGATGTTGCTGAAGAGGTCCCAGCTGTGCTTTCCCAGACTCTATGCAATGCTCGAGCTCTGCAGTTTCTTGCTGCAGGCGACTCAGCTCCTCTTGAGCTTTGGTCAGTTCATCTTCATATGCTGAAATCTTTGATTCCTGGCTTGTTATTTCAGCCTTCAGCATGGCAATCTGAAGCACAAACATTTCAAAGCCAAAGAAAATAAAGAAAAAACAAACAACAAAAAACCTACTTCCGAACACATCCAAATACTATTATTTATGACCAGAAAAAACAAAAACCTCATAGCTATTGCAGAGATTATAGATCATACCTGAAAGAAAAGTTAATTCCCTATTGGTCTCAATAAGATCATAATATCCTAGCTGTTTTCCTGACCAAGGCAAATATTTCTAATACTGAAAATATCATGTTAGACCTTAAAGAAATACTATAGCTTTATATTAAAAAAAAATCTACATAACCATAAGATGTTTTTTTTAACTGCTAAGAAATCAGTCTGAATTAGTGCTTCTAATTATAACTTTGTTAGTTGCATTATAACTTTGCATTATTTGTTTGCACTTAACCTTATTTGTGTGCAAGTATATCTCAGTACATTTTTTGACACACTGATACTAAATCAGCAGGTCACTGAAGTAAGTGACATATTTCCTATTCTCTGTTGGTCACAAAATCTTGACACTCAGGCTGTTATTTGTTAAAGTTTTTTCTCCTGCCCCAACAACTGTAATGCTGCAAGGCTGAGTTCTTCAAAATTAGGCATTTACTCTTTCAAGGGCCTTAGCCACTAGACCTTACCAAATGGGCCTCCTCTGCACACTTCTGCCTGATATCATTAAGTTGCTCTTCCAACTTGGCCTTCTGCTCATCAAGATCATGAAGGATTTCCTGCGCTTCCTGTTTCTGAGCTTGAAGCTTTTGCAGATTACTGCTCTCCCGCTTTACTTCATCCTGTAGATCCTGTAATAAAACAGATTAGCTTTGCATTTGTTCCCCCCTCCTCCTAACCACTAAATTCTGCAGTATAAACTGCAGTACTAACTCAGATTTCAAAGTATCAACAAATTATCCTTCAAAAGCTAGCATTTATAACATGTCAGACAAGCAAGTATTCTCAAATTCTAAGACATAAAAATAATCAGGTTATTTCCTTTTTCTTTAGTAAAAATAATCTCACTGAAATTTTGAAGATGGTACATCAACACAGAGATTAACGGTTTTATTCACAGGGAGGTTAGGGTTTTGTTTTGAATTTAGAAGTCGCCTTTATTCAGGCTGCTACATTGTCTCTCTCCTATGTTTTAGCAATATGTTTTACCGAGTTCCTTATTAATAGAAATTCTTTATTCTGCTCCTTCTCCCTTTAAAAATACATGGCCAAAAATAGGAACTTGTTTTAGCAACTTGGTAAAGAATCAAACTGGTACATTTTTAACCCAAATGCACTCCCTTCTAGAGTATCCCTGCCTCAGATTTTCAGCTAGAAACTTATTTTCCATGTAACAGTACTGGTAAGAAACGCACATGCCATACACAACAATATGGCATAATTTATGAAACGGCAATAAGTGTCTTGTGTTCTAAGTCCATTAAGTGGCATCACATGATAATTAGTTCATTTCTGAGCAACAGACATGGTTACACTTCAACAAACTGCAGAGATAACATTGAAAAAAATGTCAGGAGTTTAGGAGGAAGAAAGAATCGTCAAAGTCAAGAGGAAGAGAGAATACAGGGAGATCAAAAAGGATTAATACAAAAGGAGAAGTATCAGATGAAAAGAGAAGACGGCAGCCTCTCTGAGAAAATATGATAATTGAAGGAAGAATCATGAACAACAGTAAAAACCAAATAGAGATAAAAGAAAATTAAGGAGGATAGGAAAACAAGCAGATATGAATTTCTGATTAGATCATACATTAGTGTTCTGCTCTAAGCTAAGATCCTGTTGTCCTTTTTTAGGTGTGTTTTGTTAGGGTGGTTTTTTTGGTGAGGGCGATAGTTTATTCATGTGTGCTAACACCTCCAAATAATCAGGACAAAAAAGCCAGATAGAAATAGAAAGGCATACGGCGCAGCAGTCAGATGCTGGAGAAATAGGTAACCTCAAGACAACTGGAAGACTACCTAAAGAAACATCATAGATGCTTTTATTAAAAAAAAAAAAAACAAAAACAAAACCAAAAAACACACAAACAAAACCACCACCACTCCAAAAAAAGCCTCAAAAAACAACAACAAAAACCCAAAACCCAAACAAAACAAAAAAACACCACACAAAAACCCCAAAATCAAATTTGAAGTTCAGTAAAAGGTATATAACTGATGTACAGCAGTCAGAGTAGGTGAATTACTGGTTATTTCTAATCTATGAAAGACAAACCAGGGCACACACAAAAAGCTCTTACAGCAGCTACTGACTTGGATAATTGGGACACTCTTGATCCATACATTTCTTACATCACTTCGAAAAGCAAGTATCAGCTGACACTCAACAAAAGCAACACGGGAAAAAGTAACAGCTTGAAGAGATTTCAGTCTCCTTTCTCCAAATGGAAGCAAGAATTCACATACGCACAAGCTAAATATAGATCACCTCCAATCTTGCTACTGTTCCTTAAATCCCAGTGTCTGTTCCAGAAGCACTGAAGAGACCTGACTAAGCCTGATTGCTCCCAGAAGAGAAAAGAAGGAAAAAAAAACCCCAAAACATGTTCACATAACCACTCCAAAATTAAAGGTCAGAGTAGATACAACACACAGAACTGGGGATAATACTCAAACATACATCTTCATTAAGTAAATCAGACTCCAATTAAGCTTCAATTTCAAAGAACACCCTCAGCAGAGAAGCATCTTGATGTTCAGGCATTGAATGAGATTCTATATGAAAAACATTAACATATTTGAGCTGGTACAAACTAGCATTTTTATGGTAATAGTAATCCTTGTATTAGATTTACAATTATTATAACTCTCCATGCTCATGTAGTGTAGGACAAGGAAAGTCTAGAGATCTGTATTTCCACAGATAGACAATGGCTTTAATAGCTTGCCAGTCTGTACTTCACCAAATGATTCACGTGCTAAGAACTATTAAGCCTGAAAGAGCATGGAAAAGTTAAACTTCACTGACTTCCTAATGGCTTTGATGCATTGCAACAAAGAAAGAATAGAGAAAATCCAGTGCTGAGTGGGATACTCTGAGTGCAAATCTATTTAAGAAAACTCAGCCAACAAGGAGATCAAAAGGTTGGAAGAGAAGGCCAGAAACATTCTGGACTACTTAGAAGGCCACAGTCCCAAAACACCTTTCACTTGAGTTTGGTGTTGGTTTTTTTTTTCCCCTCCTCTTCCATGAAGCAGTCTCACATGCAGTCACATTTTTTTCCCCCCAATTGATACAAACATGTATTATGCTTTGTTCAAAGGTTACATGCATTTGTTCTAAAAATTTCTTCACAAAGTTTCAGTGTCCCATTGAAAAGCAAAACATAGACCTTTTGACTTCACGTCAATAAAACTCTAGGGAACGTGTAATTGCCAGGAAACCCAGTAGAACCGCCACTTGTTTGGGAGTCTTAGCAGGCAGATGGACAAACCATGCCTGTACAGGTGAAGTGCTAGATGGAAGGTGAGCATCTTGTGAATGTGTCCAAAAGCCCAGTGCTTGAGGCAGTGGCTAGCTGCTGAAGCACACTGTGAAGCACACTAGAAGAGCAGGCTGGTGATGAGAGAGCAAGGGGACAGCCAGGTAAAGGCATTTTCAGATGCCACTTGGTATGCGGTCAAAACCTAATGTTTTAGTTACACATTAACTCTGTAAAACAAAGTTCTCTACTGCCAAGAGGAACATTTCATATCTGAGTTCTACTCCTGTATTTTTAGGAAAATGCTAATTCAATCACAGAACAAGTTATGGAAATGGTGCCTTGAAGTTTCTTGATCTTTGTTACTCTGCCATAGCTTTTTAAGAAAAAACACCCCTTTGCTACTACTGTTCCTTAAATCCCAATGTCTGTCCCAGAAACACTGAAGATCTTTGGTAGCATCTTTGCTACTAAAGAGCTGATATTTTAATAAGAACATTAAAATCCATCAGTATGCTACGTTTTCCTTCCAACTCCTTTTTCTCTCTTTGCTTTTTAGTATCTATTTACCTAGTACATTAAATATTTTATAGAAGAAAAAAAACCTGTCATTCTTTCCCTCCTCCCATACAAATCAGTTTGATCCATTATAGACCTTATGGCTATATTTGAGATTATAATTTGTGTCCATGAAAGTACTTCTGGTATCAGACACCCTGGAGTGTGATGCCACCAACCCACCTTGATCCAAGGTGGCAGATTAGAATGCACTGTTTTCGTACACCATCTTCAGAAATGTCACCATTAGAATAAAACCAGAGAACAGTGGTGACAGACTAAGAATATCTTTACATCATGCTTTTTTTTTTTTCTCCTTCTGAAGTTCTAGAAAGTTTCCTGAAACATGCAGGTCCTCCAACATTCAGGAGCAAGAAAGGGACCGGAGATAAAGGGTCAACCAGCTCAAATAAATGCTGCAGCCATTTCCTATTTGATCTTGACGGTTTCTCATTTTTCTAACAAGCCAGCAATAGGCTGTTCCTTGTCTGCAGACTGACAGAATTCTGTAACTCTATAGTTAACAATGGACAAATAGCTTGTGTGATCACCAAGAGGTTAAAGACCTGAGACAGTTGCTTCCAACATTACTGCTCTAGATACAATGACTTAATTGATCCTGCGATGCAGCTGACTATCAAACACTAAACACATGCAGATGACACTAATACTGTAACATTAAAGGTAAGCTTTTTATTTAGCCGTATATACCTTCTGTGCAAAGGCACCAGACATCTCAGTCTTCATATGAACACACACAGATTCCAGAACACACGAACAAAATCATCCTGTCTGCAAAGCTGGGAATACCCATAAGGATTTTTAACAGTGTGAAAAGGCAACCTGCAGAGTCAGGAGGGGAACGACCACTGCATGCATGGACAGAATCAGACATGGACACCTTCTGTATGCATCCCTGCAGCTGCTGAATCTGGCTGCCATCGTGACTAACAGGCCAGCATGTGATTATCTTCTGAAAGGTCAGACTATTAATTATCATCCAGGCTTTAAGGATATCAAATAGCCAAGCACAAAATTCACAACTGTTGTAACACATTGGTTCTTTTTCTGCCCAACACAAAGTAAAATGCAGAAATACTGCATTATTTGCTCTTAATGAAATAAAGATTATTTAAAATAAAGATTCCTAAAATAAATGCAGAAATAAATGTAAGTGATCAGATATCACACTGATGTTTTTTTCTTAAAGCAGCCACTCCAGCTGCTTTTGCAGCTTAAAATTTAATTAAAATATTGCTTTGCAGCATTTAATTCATGGCTAGATGGTTAGCACCCTAAACACTGATGCTGACTATATAATTTTTAATCCTTGTTGAACACTTTAAATTTTAAATTTTCCAATATTCTGGAAATTCAATGTCATCCTTTTAAATAAAAATCAAATAGATTATTTTTAAAATTCACTTATGTTAGGCAAAATTAACTTGAGGCAACATTCCTCCCAAGCTGGTAATTACTGCGACTCTGAAGAAGCAGCCCCATAATACAAGCCCTTTTAATTCAGCCACTTAAGTTTATTAATTTGCAGTGCTACAGTGTCGTCTTTAGTTTCAATTCCACATTAGATAACCTTGCTAACCAAAAAAAAACCCACCACACACACAAAAAAAAAAAAAAAGAAAAAAGAAGAAATCTATTCTTTTGTAAATATTTTCATTTGAAACTCCATGCCGGTTACATATCCTAGGAGCTCACACATTTATATAAACATACACACCTTAACCAACCCACATTCATACAGAAAATACACTTCAAAGTACATTCTTTTTCTTCAGCCACTGATTTTTTTTTTTCTTTTTACTATGTGATGTGATCTAAAGACTCAGTAATCCCACTGCCATTAAAGCACCACATGGTGCAATATCAGGTGTCTGAACAATAATTTCATGTTTATTTACCTGGACCTCACTTGTCCTCTGCTTGATGGTATCTTCTTTCTCCTTCAGGTCTTGCTCTACATTATTCTTTTCCCTAGAAGACCAGCAAACAATGCAAGAATACTTAAGAACATCAGCTACAGCAGGTACAGTTATCCAGCCCCCTAAGCCTGTATCTCTCTTTAAATACATAGTGAAACATTAAACACAAAAGATGTAAGGGTTTTCTGCTTTCCAAATTATTTACAAGACAGAAGCCCACGTAAGTGTTCTGCATAAAAACCCCTGTCTTTTCACCCAACTGCACTTCAGTGATAAGAATGGCTCAAAAATGGAAGGGGGCGGGAGGGAGAAATCAATGAAATACTGTCTCCAGTGATCTCACTGTTGCTATGGAGCACTTGTCTAATGAAAACTGCTGGGAAAAGTGGGAGGGATTGCATCAGATTCCATCTATTAACCCCTGCAAACACAGTAATTCCTATGTTAACAGCAGCCAGAAAACATTTCCAGCAGGCCAATCTAGCTGATTAATGAACTTTGCCTACCCGATTTTAGATATATCTGTTGGTAAGCTCAGTCAAAGAATAAAGGTTAGCTTGCTGTAATCACTATCTGCTCAGAGACTCCATACGTAGTTATTTGCTGTGTCATATCAAGTCTGTCTCTACAGACATTTATTCAAGTTTAGAAGTGACTACTGATGACAGGGGAATTATCATCAATAAATTCTTGGCAGTCAGACATAACAATAGCTTTAAGGAAGGGGAAAAAAACCAATATACAACTCAGAAGTGTTACTGTTTTAAAAAAATGGTAAGAGTGTTTATCTCTAGACAGTATATGGAATCTTTTCTCCTTTCACAGATGCAGAAAAGCATTAAGCTTTACAGTTTTAACTCTATCTTCAGCATACAGATATTTACTTTCATAAAGATTTTGTTAATAAATTAGCACACACATTCAAAGTCAGCATTTGAACAACGACAAATCTAACATTTCTAAATGAAATACCATAGTGAAAAGCTATCAAATTATATTACTAGTACACACTGAAATTAAGGTAACTTTATATTTTAATAGCAGCAGATCAGCAATCAATATAAAACTACTAATATTTTTGTTTACTTTTATCTAATATAGAAGAAAGCATTTCTGTCTCCCAAGTAAAGCAGGTCTACTCTAAGTTCTCTCCACTCAAGCTGAGGAATTCTCATTTACTGCTAAAAACGACGTACAATAGAAAATAAAAAATCCAGATGTCACAGATCTTAAAATGAACTGAAATTTGCTCTGAAAAATAATTACTATAGATTACATTCTGCTATTGTTTATCTCAGTATCTGACTAAAAAACAACTTACTGATTGTGCCCAAAGGGAAGGTTTAAATGGAAGGAAAAGAAAAGATGTGGAAAGAGAAACTTTGAAGAGCAAGGCTAGTTATTTCATTAAGTGTGAACATTCAAGTTTCATAAAATTCCTCACTCCCCATTCATCAGAAAAAAGTATCATGGAAATTCTAAGCAAATGTTTACTATTTCCATCAAAGCTACAGCACACTCCTCTAGCTCAATAAACTAGTATTTGTACTTAGATATTTAAAGCATTGCAATACAGGGTTGAAACGAGCTCTGTTGATTTTGCCTTCCATAACTTTTCACGAACAAAGGGTCTCAATCTCAATAAAGCGCTTCCACAGATCTAAGTACAAGTCAGGCTGAAAAATACCCTCAAGCCCTCAGATACACATCAAGCAGAGCAAACATTCAGGCTTATTATTCCTGATTGAAGATAAAAGAGAATGATTGACTAGGTAAACAAATACTTGTTATTTTTCCTGCTTGGGTATGAAAACTGAGCAGGAAATAGAAATGCAAGCAGGTTATGTATGCTTTAATATACAGCCTTTCCACATTACTGTCACTGATACGCGTAAGAGACTGTCAAGAGCTGAAGATCACTTCACTTGTATTTCAACAGAAGCCAGGTACCTAAACCTTGCAAGCTGGACTATGCTATGCAAGCAACAGGATACAATACCCACCCACAGGCAGCTTACACTGGCCAAATCACAACACAAACAATGAATTGGAAAAAATCAAGTGAAAGAAGTATTGTCAGGCAGAACAAGAAAAGCTTGGGCAGCAGTCTCAGGCAAAGGAAAACAAGCTGAGTGTATATAGTCTACACATAACACATCCCCTCCTCCCCCCCAGTAATGCATCTTTGTTTCAAAAAAAAAAAAAGACAACACAGACCTACTTAATTCACTAATTCTTCTGAATGCCTCCATTTCTTTTACAAACTATCTGGTATGCCCCTGTAGGAATGCTCAGCAACTGAAAGAACCAAAAACAAGTAACAAAATTGATTTATTGGATACAACAGATTTCCTGGATCATAAAGTCCTTTACCACATCAGTACTTGGGGAAAAAAACAAAACAAAACACCAAAACAATAAAAAAAACCCAACCACAACCCAAAAAGAACTGTGGCTTTGCCAATAAAGGACACTTGTAACCAATTCAAGTCAATTTATGAAAGCAATATGATTTCCCTATGTATTTTAATAGTAGTCTGGTCAGGAGAACCTCATATCAAAGAAACTAAAAGCAATTATTAAAAAAACCCCAAAACTAATAGATGGTTTCTCCAATGCAGATACTTCATAATTTATAATCAAATAATCTCAGTAAATCCATACATTTTATACTAATTTATGAATGGAGTAGTTTATAAGTGGGAGCCAGCACATCGCAAATACTTGTTATAACTGACAACTGCAGAGTCCCCATGTCAGCAGAGGCACTGAAGCCAAACATGAAACAACGTTGGCCAGGCTTCTGGATGGCCAACACTTAGAACCACCTTAGCTACAAAAGCAAAAAATCATGGTTCTTCTCCATATTAAGTGACAGATGACTACTCACAGTTGCCCAACTTATTTTCACATACATTTGTACATTTGGGAATTCCTAGTGTAGTAGTACTTCAGTTGGCAATACTAGAAAAAAAATGCCTAGGGCTTGCCTTGTTTCTTTTCCCCTTTGCTCCCCCCAACCTTTTCAGCTGCAATAGCTCAGTTACTTCCAAACTAGAGGTTCAAAGAAATAATCTAGCCTACATTAAAATTCTTACCAGTGCTTTGCTAAGAAGCTGTAGATGTCTGAAACAAAGGCTTGATGCAAGTGCATGGCAGGGAGGGGTTGCCCTGTTTTTTTGGGGACCTTTTGCTGTTTCCTTACTTTTGAGAGACTCAACTTACCAGCCTTACAGTCTTTTTCACCTAATTTATATTCAAGACAATGTAACTGTTGCTGTCCAGCCTATGTGAAGGATGGCACCTCTGGTGAGACGTACCAAGTTAAGCTCAACTACTTAACATGCTTAGAGAGGAATGTAGTATTGGTAAAGCTTGAAGATATTCCACTAATTTGTGGACCGTAGCTAGCTTTGAATGCACGAAAGCAAAGCAGGGTTTGCTGAGGAAGAAAAAGGGCTTATGGCTCAAAAAAGAATATTAAGAACATCTGGTCTAGCCTCCCACAATGCTGATCAAAAAAGCTTCAAATAGCTTTCTAAAAATACAGTGCAACTGAAACAGAACTTACAGGCAGCAGTGCTGACAGGCTCAAAATTATGCAGATTCCACAATGTCCCTAGGCAAATCATCCCCCCTACCAGAGGGAAATTATCCTCCCTAATAAGTGTTCTGCATTTTATTCTTCATCTGATCCTCAACCTTCACCTTCCCAACACTGTTTTTATTGAATTAGTTTAAAAAGCTATTGCCTACCAGAAATCCTTCCCACACAAACTTGTGAGCCACAAACACATCATCTCTGTATTCTTTACTCAGTCTCTCAAAAAGCTATGTTTTCCACACATTGACATTCTTTTAGGCATTTCCTCTGCTGCTTTTTTTTTTTTTAAAGTGCACTTCAAAAATAGATTCAATTTCTATTAATGGGTCTCAGAAATGCAGCTCTCATGGATACTTCTCAATGGAATCATGGGCTAGAATTATTACATATTGAGTTCAACAGCTGAACAATATATCTTGTTTAATAATGAACAAAAAAACCCCCAAGTTTAAATCACATTTTTATATGAGAACTATCAAGACTGGAAGTGTGCTTCTCCAGTTATAAAAGAAATGTGGATTTGCCAAAGATGAAAAAGGTTTCCTACATTTACCATAAAGATTAATCTTAGGGAAGGTACAGAAAAGTAACATTTACTCTGCTTACAAAATAACCCTTCTACACTGGCTAAAGGATTTCCAAGTAAGCAAAAAATTAATTTTCTTGAAAAGAGTAAAAATGAAAAAGATTTACTTGTGCCACAACTCCCTTTATGACATTGAGAGTTTGGTAGTCATTCTCAATCAACCCACGCAAACCTCTCATACTTCAGTTTGACTATACAGGCTTAAGCCTCTGATTGTTGATCCAGTTCTATTCTGAACCTCTAAATCATAAAGTAAATTTCCCCTTTCTAAAAATAAATACATGCTAATAGTTGCCCCTACCATGTCTTCAACAATCTAATGTCATTCAAATGTGTCTTAAGTAACCGTCCAAGTATATTTTCCACTGAAGAAATGGAAGGAATGATTTTCCAAAGGCCATAGTTCCTTCATACCTCACATTAAGAAAAGAAAACAAGACATAAACAGACCAGCTTGCATGTTAGGCTGCAAGTCCACCTACTGAAAACCAACTTCATCTAAAAATTCATGCCAGTGAGCAATTTATTTCCCTCTAAGATACTAACAGCAAATATACACAGTTGTAAATCATATTTCAGGTTAATAAATGTGAGAGTCCAAAATTGGAATTAATACAACCTAAAGAACCACCAAGGAAGGCAGAGCAGGGAGAAGTGAGGAGGCAGTGGGAGTAATAAGAGGGAGAATAAGCAGTTGAACTGAAAAAACATTTATGTATTTAGGAAACAGACTGTGCTTTGACACATTGCCAAATTAAATCATTCCTGCAAGTGACATGAATAATACAGGCAGATTTCATCATGACAAAGCACCCTCACTTATAAAATAGTAGAATTAACTGTTCTTAATAGAATTTTCAGTAGATTTACAATAGTACCAACAAAAAGCATTGAAGAAAAATATCTGCTATGTCTTGAGAATATGACAAAGACTATACAACATATACAAACTTGACTTTCTTAGTCACTTGAAGTCATCTTCTTAATTACCTTAGAAATAATTAATGGGACCCAAGGGTCTGCAGACCTCAAATTAAAACAATTTTTCTCAGTGCACCAGTTTATTTTACTAAACAGGAGAGAAGTATGTCTACCTTTACCA